GTGTACTTTGGAGTAGATGGAACTGTTGTGTTTACTGCATGCGACTGTGGTCTTTGGTAGAAGGCCGGGAGGTTGGGTTTTGCTGGGTGGCTTTTTTTTTTCTCCCCCCTGTATTGTTCTTACAAAGAGTATTGCACTGCATTGACATTTTTATGCATGTAGTAACTGCACGCCTATCGGACACATCACACTTATCACTTCATTATTTGTTTTGGGAGTGATAAAATACGGATTTTTTTCATGTACTGCTTCCACTAAGATACCATTTATCATGTGAATAACTAACTAAACTAAACATACTTCTGAGAAAACTATATACAGGGTCACAGGTACAAACTTACTGAATAAATATCTCTCGCAAAAAAAATGATAATCTACAATTTAGCAATTTTTCTGCTATTTTTTTCAGCAATTTTAATAATTCAAGGCTAGGTTTGATCTAATCTAAGACTTCCCCCCCTCGAAGAAGTGAAATATTCCATGTGTCGACCTCAGTTTCTTTGCATTCATTCTGTTTGATTTAAGGCATTATTTCCATATGCTAAAGACTGTATGTGGCTCTCATAATCCAAGACAGTTACAGACTTATTAAGCATAGTCAAGTATATTTTTGGTATTCATTATTGTCTCTTTCTGACAAAAAGAAAAGAAAAAAAAAGATAATAAACAGTCTTCACATGCATCCATTGCATGGAGTTGGTCAGCATCGTCTCGTACGTAGCTGCCGGCAGAATCCGCCAGCTCCGGAGGTGGCTCCTCGTGGATGGGAGTTGAAGTTTGCAGTAGTTCTTGGTTGTTCAGCACGTGTGTTTGAGGGAAGAGCACGAGGTGGAATGGGCTGCCCAGGCCTGATGGCATCGAGACCCGGGCAGGCGTCCGGTTTTTTTTTTGGTACAAAGTCTAAAAAGCAATGTTAGTATCTAATACACTTGGGTTTTAAATATATTGATATATCACAAAATAAACGAGGCCCCTAGGAATGGAAAACAAAATGACCAGCTGTAACACAGGGACTGTCTGTAGTTAGGATTCAGTTATTGGAAATCTATACAATCACAGACTAAACCTTGAGGGGGAAAAATGCCTGTTTTTCATAAGGTTTATACTGCAGAATAGTTGCAGTAAATAGTATCCATGTAGCTTAATTCCCCTCTGCTACCTGCTCTAGTTAGCATTCCTGAAAGACTGATATATAAACGCACACGTGTGTTGCTTACAAACACGTGTTTCCTTTTTGATCTTCTTACCAGATACTTGATAGTTTCTTTTATTTTTGTGACGTTTCCTCTATTCACAGATTTTTACTTTCTTGCAGTAACTAGTTCTGAAGAGAATGTGCATTCCTGTTATTCTGCCCTTGCTTTTTATTGCGACTCAGGTGCATTATGTGTTTTCACATAGACTATGTAATAATATTTACTTCCGCCTTTTGGAGTGATGTGTGGAACAACGGTCACATATTAAGTATTGAATAACTGAAAGACATAAAAATTCATATGTGTATTTTAAATAGTAACAGTATTGTTCTTGGTGGGTCAAGTATTGTCTGTGATGTTGTGCTCCCGAGTATTTCAGAGTTGAAAATGGCAAGCTAAACAGTCAAGACACCAGTTCTCACAGCACATGCCCAGGTTAACAAATAAAAAAAGCGTGTAAGTACAGAAAGCTAGAATAAAGCCACTAAGAGTTAAGCCAATGTAAAATGCACAAAGGGGAAAACTGTGTTCTTGTCCTCCAACATCGTGTGTCTTTTTGGCACACTTGTATTACTAGGTTTTACGTTTGGCCTTAAATGAATGCAGAAATTAGTTTTTGTTTTCTTTTTCAAATGTTAAGATTAATTATTTTGTCTTGGATTCGAGTTGAAAAGTTATTTTGCTGAGAGACACATGATAAGAGCTTACACAGTTGAGTCATGTGAACGTGGAATACTTTCTGTTGAAAGGTGGTTAATAGTGATTGCTTTTCTAATTAACGGCGCTCAGTTTTATTGCAAGCTCTGGTAAGTATCCATGGGTCTCTCTCTTCCTTATGTCCCTGTAGATACACATCTGCTTTGTATATTTCCGGTAGAAATACAAATAATAGAGCAGCCAGCTAAGACAAAAGGAAGGTCACTAAGATCCCAACACAGTCAAGAAATTCAAATTTATGATGGACAGCCATCGTTTCCCCCGTGCTTTTGAATGTTTGAAGAAGTGTGTTGAGCTGTCTCTTGCAAGTTTGAATTTTCTGTCCATCAGACTGCTTCGGTCTTAACATGTTCAATTTCATTTTGTATTCATTTAGAAATGCTTTCCATATGTATATACACACAAGCATGTATACAGTAAGTGTGTATATGAACATATGTTTCAGTGTATATATATATATATATAAAGTGTTTGTGGAGATAGTGCATGGAATGTTTTCTTTAATGTCCTAGATGGATGGGTTTTTATTTACTTAAGGAGCAGAATGCCTTTTAAATATATCCCCCTGCTCTCCCCAACCTCATAGGTTTATTTAATGACTCTCACTTGAACAGAAGCTTTCTTGTCTTCTATATTAGTTTATTTTTTATGGAAAAGGGCTCAGTAAAGGTGGTTCTAGGATTTTGTATCTGTGTTTGGGTTGTCGTAGACCATGTCTGCTGGTTTTTAGGAGGAGGGCAGCGCACCTCTGTTGGCTGCTGAAATAAAGAAGCCCTAATGCTACTTTTTCAGCCATCACATGTATGGAAGCCAAGTTTCTCCTTGGAGTTGCCCGTTATGCCAAGTGCTTCCTGTGGTCCTGCACACGTGAGTGCCCAGGCACAGGTTTGAGGGGTACGAGCAGTCGCATTTCAGCAGCACTGCTCTTATGTTTTATATAAAGCATCCCTACAAACGTGGGGAACGTCAGGGACCAGAAGTACATCTGCTCCTCATATACAGGAGGTCATTGTCCCAAAACGGATGAAACTAGGTGCTCTTTTTTTTTTTTTTTTTTGTAAACAGCTAATATGAAAGAAGCTTGTACTGGGTCTTTTGCCCGCTGTTTTCATATACTCTTAGTGAAATCAGGTTTTGTCGAAGTGCAGGGGACTTTTTTCTCTTAACTGGGCAAAAAAGAGGTATTATGTATTTATATTTTTGCAGAAAGCATGATCCCTTTCTCCCTCTTTCTTCTTTTTTTTTTCTTAATCAAAAGAACTTGTTTAAATTTATTATAAATGTCTAACCATACAATTATCAATGCAGCATCCCATAACTAATGCTGACCCGCTCTCCCAGAAAAGATGTTCATTGTGCATTTGAAAGGTTGAAAAGGTTTTTGTGGTTTAAATGTTGTTACATATTTTACAGCATTAGGATCTATGGAATATTTTGACAACTGCAACAGTTCAATGAAGTTGGTAATTTCTTCTTTTAATTATTTTTCATTGAACAGATTTGGAGTTAAATTTTTAAGGCTTATGTTCTGGTGTATTATACAGGAACATTTTGATGAAATGTATCGTGTTTTTTTTTTTTTTCTAAAAAAAAAATCTTATTTATTATTACAAGCTATCTAGCTAGAGAATATTGGCTTTAAGGTTGTTAGCTTTTAAGCATAAGGTAACCACTGGCGCATAATTTTGATGAAACAGTGTGGTGTTCCTTCCAGCTAGTGATGTACGTGTATGACTGCACATCCTCTGGTAGATGAGCTGATGCATGGGCTTCACAGATTATCTGCAGCACCCTAATCCACATTTGAGTGGGAAACAAGACTGGCTTTACGCAATTTCATTAAGTAAAATCCTGGTTGATTTAAAGCTTCAGTGTTCTCCACTTCCTTCCCTGCTCCTGTACTAAGCGTAGTGCAAGTAGTGCTTTGAATTGCTTGAAATACATTAGATAGAAGGTTTTATTAACCAAGTAGAGTCTCCTTAATACTAAAATTGTTTATAAAATCACCCCCACCAGATGTATTGTTTCTATCAGTTTGTGATGCCATTGTCTTTACAAACTTCCTCAGAAGCAAGGACTTGGCTACTTCAAAAACCCCACCAAACCACCCTACAGTAGCACCTGCACTGTTTATTAATATTATTATTTACTATTATTTATCTCCCCTCCCCACTTTTCACTTCTCACTGTAGGCATTTGTGAACGGTCAGCGGCCAGAAACTGTTGAAGAATCAATACATCTTTAGCTGGCAGTTACTAAATTGGAAATTACTTTGAAAAGAAACAAACCAAAAAATCCCTCTCTCCCCTCGCCCCCCTAAACACTGAAACAACCAGCCCCAAGAATAAATTTTCAGTAGTATTTTTATTAAATCAGATGTAAGTTTTTGCTTTACTTAATTGTTAGTAAAATGATGAAATTCTGTATTTTATGATATAAGATTATTTTTCCAGCTATTTAATTTTTAACAGGCAGAGCATAGTTGGATAATAAATCAGATACTTTCGATTCAGTGCAATTATTTTCATAGTAAGGGGTAACACTTTATTTTAAGTCTTTGTTCCAAATTCTTACACTTAACCATGTAAAAAACTTTTAAACTCAGTAGCCTGAATTTTTATATGCTCAGCTCTGGTAAAGTAAGACTACCTTTTAGTAACTAATCTATAAGAAAAAGTTAGTGTTTTCATTGCATTTACAGTGATAATAATTGCGTTTTTTTTTTTTTTTTTGCCTTAACTACTGTATTTACTTTCAATAAATACATGAAGTTGAATAGAGAGCACTTAAAATAAAGCATACCTTTTTTTAGTTTAAATTCATTTACAACATACGGGTGTTTGATAAGACATGTTTTAGGCTTATTTTATTTAAATAATAATTAAAGTTTTTACTTATCTAACACTTTAATTTTGTCATTAATATGTGAAATAATTGTAGTACCTTTATATTTAAGTAGCTTCATTCTGTAGCTATATGCCGTAAAATTCCTAATACTGTTAAGTGAGCTTCTTCATTATGTTAACAGTTTTTGTAAATTATTCTTTTTTTCTTGCAGCAAGGAGCAAATAATGCAGAAAAATTTGACTATGTAAGTGAATGTTATGGCAGTCTTATGTTTTTCCTAATTGAATTAAATGGTGAATTTCTCAAGTTGAAATTTTAGTCATGTCAACCCAAATTTCCTGTGTGGGGGGGAACTTTGTTGTTGTCTTTTTGTTTTCCATTTCGCTATTAAAACATCTAGTGGTTTAAATTTCATCCGAAAAGTCATATTGCAAGAGAGGGTTTTAGTGAAGCCTGGATTGAATATTGATCATTTATTACTTCTTAATGCCTGAAACTGCTAGAATGTCTCCTCTTCTTTCTTCCCCCTGCAGGTGATGCAATTCATGAATAAAATGGCGGGTAATGAATATGTTGGATTCAGTAATGCTACGTGAGTATTTCTTTTATTTACTTAATGAAATCAGGTGGGAAGAAATCTCAGCTGGCACTCGGGCTTCTGAGCTTTCAGCAAATGTTGGATATTTACATTGAAACCATCATTTCACTCCTAATATTTAGGGTATGTGTTTGGTTTAAAATTATACAAGGACAAAACCATATGTGTGTCTGACACCTTGCTAAACCCTGCCTAAAAGTGTTGGGTTATTTCTTTGAAAATTTTTATTATTCGGTGCTCTGGTGCTGTTGCAGTGAGAGCTGTAATCACAGCACATATTCCTGGCATTCGCATGAAAAAATAAACTGTGCAAGTAGAATGGATACGTATCCAATGTTTAGAAAGCAAACGTTTAGTGTGGTTGGAATTCTTTATGTGCTTTTGTTTTTTGTTTTTCTTTCAATGTATTTTAATTCTGTTCTAAAATGCACAATTCCCCCCATTGAATATGTAGCAACCTGGAAACTTATTGGGGCAATGAGCAACCAGATAACTGGTATTTTTGCTGAGTATTGCTAATGTACAAGCGCTTACTGTGAGAGTTACTAGTTTTCATTAAGGCTTTCGATATCTCTGTAAATATAACAGACCAGATGGGAGAAAAGAATCCTTAAAAAAAAAAAAAAAGAAATCCATTTGGATTCCTCCTTTATGTTTTTGGCTTAACTTACTCATCGTGGTGCACGGTGTAGCCCTTAGTTAATTAAACTGCAACTTGATCCACCAATGGCAACGTGGTTTGCTCAGTGCTGTCGGTGAATGACCATCCCAGCGCGCTGCTGGATGTGCTTCCCCCTTCTGTTGGCCTTGCAAAAGGACTATTAAGAGTAGGATCTCGACTGTTGCCGTGTCTGCAAGTTGTCTTCCATGTGTGTAATTGGGAATACTGTACATGACGGGATGCTGGAGTTTGTCTCAAACTTCATATCTGCACCCATAACCTCTGTGGGAAACGGTGCATTGATTCTGGCATGGAACTGCAAGTCATTCTTCAAGGCCGTCTTCTACCTTGCTAAATTGAGCTAATGTCAAGACTTCGGAGTGAGGATCCCTCTCAGTGGTGACCTTGCATTGCCTTTCTGATGTGTTCATGGGCTACCCATAGAATCAGCAGTCTAAAACCAAAAGCATGTGTTGAAATTGCATATGCTGCCTTAACTTAGCAAGGAGTCTTTACTAAATCTTTTTTTTTCAATCATTTCTTGAACAGATTTCTGTTTTTCTCTTTTTTTAAAGAGATTCTCAGCTGTGAAAAATAAAATACAGTCCAGAAAGTGAACATTTTATTAAATATGTAAATGCTACAAGCTTCTTTAGTAAAATCCAGGTACAGAGCAACCTGTATCCAGCTTTCAGCTTTTAATTCATGTCTGAATTGGAGCACTGGTATTAACTGTGCTAGGTAAAGGATATATTCCAATTTCTCAGGATCATATTATTCTTATTTAAGTGGCAAATAACAGGATTCCTGGCTGTAATAGGTAGTGGTGACATTTTCTAGGGACTTGGTCACCTTATTGAACATATTCCTTGCTGTGTGCTGGGGAGGGAGGGCCGGGTGTGTTAGGGTGAGCATCTGTGGCAGTTTCCATGTTCTCTTGTTGTTACTGTTTTTTATTTGTTTTGTTTTAAGGTTCCAGTCTGAAAGAGAGAGCGGAGATAGAAACTTTGCGATAGGCTACTACCTGAAAGAAAAAAAGGTTGACGTATCTTTTAATCATATTTTCAGGGTTGCGTGTTTTTCATCGTCTTGACCTGTGAAGATTTGCATTTAATTCAATAGATGATTCACTGTGTGGTGTCATTTATTCTAATGTTGTATATGTTTGTTATGCAAATCCTTCTAGCTCTTCTGGACAGAG